GATTGGCATCAAGAGGGACCTGCTTGGGAATCGCAGCCTGGAAGGATTTCACTGATGATGAAGGGCTCCAATTCTCGTTAGGGAGTCCTGAGGAGGAGTCTCCACGCTCATTGGCTGATTCGACGATGAGGCCAAAATAGTTAGGACTTGGTGATCTGTTGTCGGAGACCACGCGGGGCGAAAGCTTGGGTGGAGGGTGATTCTGACCGACTGAGTAGGGCATCCGGGGAGAGGCGAGAGGAGTCGATGTTTTTGTTGACTTGGTAGGTCGGAGTGTCTGAGAGTGAGAATGGGAGTGGTTGATGTTATACGAATTAGATCGTGAATGGGAAATATTATTAGAATGAGACTGTCCGCCAGGAGAGTGTCGTGCGGGAGTCTTCATTGTATAGTGTAATGGCGTCCGGTCGCCAGTCCTGGAATCATGCATAGCGAAGGCGTTGATCGGAGTAGTCGACGTCATCTCTGGAGACGCAGGGGTAAAGAGAGGCTGAGCGAGGCTCATAAGGCCATGATGAAGAGGTCGAGAATTAGATTAAGTGAGTAAGTGATGGATGGATTGGGAAGAAGGGGACCTGGAGTCGGTTATATCGAGAATAGTAGTAGCTAATGGAAGTCTAGCTTCAGCTAAATAAGGGTCTCGGGGGGCGAGGGGACCTAGGACCGAGAAGTGTAGTGCGAGTGTAGTGTAGTGTGGGAGTGAGTAAGGCGAGGCAAGGCAAGGTTGATTAAAGAAATGCAAATGCACCAAAGATAAAGATGAATGAATGGATGAACGAAGGCTACCCTCTCTTCCTTTAGGCTAGGCTAGGTCAAGAAGAGAAGCGGGCAGTTGGTGGGGTCTATGAATCCGATCCCTGGAAGACTTGGAAACAAGCCAAGAAGGGGGGTGAGGGGGCCCTGGGCTGGCTGGGGGTGTCAACACCGGTAGGGGTCAGGGGGTGATGGCCTAAAACCCAGGGGGAGGTCAGAGGCTGCGACAGTAAATTAGACGGTAGCCGAATTTCAGATTCGAATGGTCCTGACGTACGTTACTGAAGGTGCCCCAGACTTTACTTAGTGCTGCCCAGTCTCCAAGTCGGTGTAGAAGAAGGAAAAGAGATGTTGCTGAGCTGAGGAGAGTTGAGATGAGTTCAGGGAGCACAGCAGAAAAGGCGTGTTGTATTGCTGTAACACACGTACAGGGCGTTCATAAGAACAAATGCAGCCTGCAGTGCTCGAAATGGTGATGAACGGTGGCAACAAGTTTATGGGTACACACACTCTCTCACTCTCACACGGCCAGTGGTACAGTGAAAAAACGCCGTTACCGTCGGGGTCAGTGGGATGGCGACGGTGGCGTCTCGCGGACGATGACGTGCGGTGGAGAAAGGAGGATCAGAGAGAGGGCAATCAACAGCCCAAAGGGGTGATAGAACGGAAAGAAATATTTTATTCTATGTTTGCCTTCTTAGATAATACTTATTAGACTTTAGAACCTCATAGACTATTCTGTCTTGACTCTCCTATATTAGAAATAGCCGCTCGCGGTTCGCATCCGTGGCGTTTTATAATGTCCGAGGACACAGGTTTGTAATCCAAATCTGCAGCTGTCAAAATGAATACGGTTCCCAACTCTCCTGTACGTACCCTGATCCTACCGTAACGTCCCCTGCAACCTACCGTATCGCATGTCCTCGTGCGTCAGCGTTGCAAGTGGAGTGAGTCCTCTATGGGGAGAGGGGAAAACGGACGGTACAGAAAAAAGAAAGCAAAGCAATCCTGCATCAATCAAAACCTGGGAAACTCGCAGCCGAATCGTTCGATTCTACGATAAGATAGAAGTTATCACCAGATTCTTTGCCAGGGCTGAATGCAAGAAGGGACCTGGTTATCCTGAAACCCCAAAGGGCTGAAAGAAAGCCAGAAAAAAAAGAGGCACGAAGAGGAGCATATCGTTACAGTAGCCTAAGCTTTTTAGTCGGGTTACAGTCAGTCACCGACGTCGATCATGGCTACCGTACACCTGCACGTCAAAGTGCATAAACACTGACAACTTCCAAAGGGGTCTCTCTTTTCTCCTGTGTCATTTATTCTCTTGCTGAACCGACGATCTCATAGTGGCATGTTTCGACTAGAACTGTGTGGGTGGTGCAAAAGAGAGAGGAACCAACCAGTTGAACAGATACAAGCGGTTCTGATAATACTGCAGAAACAGCTCCCGGTGAGAACGGTCGTTGGGGGTTAGGGGTGGTCGCGTGTGGTAAAGATCATCCAAGCGAATGGACGCTTGCTTTCTGGAGAAGGGGGGGAGGAAGAGAGAGAAGACGCCGGTCCGGATTTGTTTGTGTGTGTGTGTGTGTGCGGTTTTTTGTTTCTGGTGCTGTTCGTGCAGGTGGACAGAAGGACCCTTGAAGATCATTGATTTCGCAATTGCACGCTTGCCTCTACTTGTTGAAATGTTTGGTTGATCTCGGTGGTTTCTGGCGGTGGAGGTTGAGGGGGGAGAGTCCGTTGGTACAACCTGGCCAATAGTTCAGGACATTGAGGTTCAGTATAGCTTCAGGTGATAAACTCTGACAGGTGTAATATAATTCAATCCATTCAAGGTATCAAACTCTTTCTGTTGACAATGTCGTAGCAACTGCAGGTACTAGCCTGACTGGCCTGATAGAATATGTATTATTGAAGCTTATTACGCAAGCTTCAACCAACGACGGTATCTTTCCCTCTCGTATTCTTACAATTGAGCACTATAATAGAGTTCATTCGAGCATGCAGATGCCATCATCTCTTTCCCCTGTCCCACGATGATCCAGATCATCTTCACACTTTCATCCCCCGCTGATGCTCATGCTCCCCCTCTCGAATCTGTCACCGTCTCTCGAGTCTTCCCCCTGACTACATCGTCATTGCAGCGTCAAGGGTCCCCACCTGGAAAGAAATAATGGAACGGTGCGCATGGGGGCGTGTGTGCATCTGTTTGCCTGGGCTTGAACCAACCAGAAATCCGCGTGGCGCCATCGTCAACGTCACTGGCCCGCATCGGTTTTTTGCTTCTTTTCTCCCACTGATTTATCTCCGCCCTTTCGCTCTCTGCCCATTTCGACGTTTGCCAACCTCCGCCTGAAAAGGTCGCTAGAGTCTAGAACGAATCTACTGCGAATCATGGTTTGTTCTGTGCCTTCAGCTTTTGGAGAATTGCGTGTTCAGATCTCGCGTCAACGGTCGTAAAGTCTGATGCTGAGTCTCGACCAGGTCTTTACGAAATTAAATGCTGCGGCATGACGTAGTTGATGAGACGTTGAGTAACCATCCCACTTACGCTCACCGTTTTGACAATTACTGTTGTAACGTCTTGATAGCCCGCTCAGTAACGGAGTTTCAGCTGAAAAGCCATCTGCCCAAAGGCAAAAGCTGAATCGGAACCATGCCATATCCCGGCTTCGGCTAATGTCAAAAAACGGCTGCTCCTCCGCTAAGCGATTTGATCTTGTGTCTATGATTTTGTTTCAAGGCTGTCTGGCTCATGCTCTCTCCCTAGTTGCGAGCTGATTTCAGGGACCGCTGCTTAGACTACGTTAAGGCAAAGCTTGACACAGACATCAGAAACGCAATGCTCAATTATAAGCAGGGGACTCAGGTTTATGCGAGGATTGCCTGATGCATGTCACTCCGACGCCCTTGTCCGAGTCGCAGACGAAGCTATCCAGCTTTTCGGTATTCCGTATTCCACCGGCCGAAGCTTAACAAGCCTCGATTATCAACCAAGCCAAGCCCTGCGAGAATACAGCAGCGACCAGTAGCTGCCGTTTCCTTACGGTTTCTGATTAGGGTATCTAACGGACGCTAAGAGCACACCCTTGCAGATGGAAGCCTCAGACATCAGACATCTTTTCTCACCGTCACGTATGTACGTCTTTGCTTCAATTCAATCCACATCGAAGGGCCTGGACCCTGAGATCATCCCCTCCATAACGGATAGATTATCAAATCAACTCTCCAACTAGGGTTGCACGCGAGTAGAGCAATTCATCAGCGGCGCTTGCGATTATTTCTAAACAAAGACTCAACAGCATGGCCTCAATCTCGAAAGGGCCAAGGGGAGAACAATCTCACTCATGTCTTTGAGGACAAAATGCTCTCAGAGTGGAACTGTTTGAGTAGGAATCGAAAACTTTAATCGCTTACCGCTAGTTGTTCGCAGAAACATGGCGTTGACTTTCAACTTCAGCCAAGGCTGTGTGCCAGCGAGACGCCGCCTTACAGTACTAGCCTCATCGAACCAAGGCGGACCCTTGAATTTCTGACCTTTAGCATCTTGGGCGGGAGGGGCACGAGACGAGACTGACAACAAACTGGTGTTTTAGCCAGGAGATGCCTGACAGAACCAGATTCATCCCACTTTGACAGTTTGCCATGTTCGCAGAATCGTTCCCACGGGAAATGGATATCCAAAGATCCACTCAAGTCTGACTGAGTCCCGAACGCTTTGTGCGCCTTGTACGATAGAGGCCTATGCTACCTCAGTGACGTATGATGGACCGTTCTCGATGCTCAGGCTGTGCTTCAGCTGAGCAACAACGCATAAGCCAATATGTTCTAGACACTGGGTATGACATCGTCGACTTTTGATGAGCCTCGTTCTTATGGGAATTGTCATTGTCGATAATCAGTTGTGGTTCTGTCAAGACATAGTATCCCTGCCGTAGATGCGTCCAGGCATGCCGATCATGCAAGACGGTGTTGACACGAGGCAGTTCGGTTTCTAAATAAGGCAGGAAGAATTAAATGCATTTTTAATTGATTACATGGCCTTTTTGATAGCCACTCGGGTGGGATGTCGGAGTTGAGGGTTCTCCATTCCGACTGGTTGTATAACCTCGAGATGGGTGGTACCCTGACCTTAGTTTTGTTCTCTCAAAATCAGGGAGGACAGAATGACTCCAATGGTATTTTTTTTTTTTTACGGTTGATGCTTTTCCTATGTCTGTGAGAGACGTCATGGTGGAATGTTGTAAATGATTTGTACCGTTTCGAGTGCTCAGTCCGAGAGCCGTTTGTCCAGCGTCATTCGTGCCAAAGCTATCCCAGAGCTATCCAATATAGGAACTATCCCGATATTATGCTTCGATTATACACTTGAGCTTGTATGTTTTCGAAAAAGCTAGTCTATATCGCACACTTTGTTCCTGTCTGGTCCAGAGCTAATTCGGCCCGTCAGAGTCACTACATCACCGATGACCAACTGACTCGTAACCACCTACTCGACAGTCCGTCACAAGCACATCACCAAAAACACCTACATTAAGATCACGATTCAACCCAATCCCTCAATCCCCGATCCTTGTCACCGCCGGAGAATCAACTAATAGCAAATGCCCAAACAGCCATTCTCATCTTGATCACAAAATAAAAGCATCGGGCCTCACCGGTTGAGCTATCAGCTGACCAAAGCACTTCTACACGTGTGCTGGAAATACCTGTTTTTTGCTGGAAATACCAAGCTTCGATCGTTGTTCTAGACTCGAGCATGAATCTGTTTAGCGTGACACGCGACTCGAGCTCTTGAAACTCTGGCAGTTGTCGGGGCGCCCGAGCGGCGTTTGATAGAGCTCAAGTGGGACGAACGACACGTCTTGATCGTTAGTTTGGACGCTTTAAAGGATTAAAAACGCTATGGCTAGCCACTGATATGTAGGGGGAATTAGTAGCGCAGCAAAAAGAGAAAATAGTGGTTAGTCTCCCTGAAATCATGTTATTATATGCAGGCTAACTAGTTGTGAATATCTTTACATGACTTCAGTGAGGATGAAGACCAGAGACCCAAAGCTTGAACTTTCAGGTCAATAAATCAGCTGTAAAACGCCTCAACTGAATATCATGCAATGTTTTGCATTTCTATAGGCTCTGTCATCTGAATGATCCCATCAGTCCCAGCTGAAAGCTGAAGGCTCACGTTCTTGTTCTTGGCATTATAAGCCCTAGTTCTTGAGCTATGGTTCAAGCATAATTCATATCCTCGTGCTCGACAGGTCACATCCGGTACCGAGACGAGCTGAAAGCTTGTTGACAAGAACTGCTCCCCTCATGAGTCGTCAAACCAACCACAGAGTAATAAGCTCAAGCCACAAACTCGAACACTTCCTCCAACAACTCCAAAGTGCAAAACTGAAACATATCTCTAAAGCTGCCCCTCGCACCATGGCAACTACCTTCCTCCAGCATGACTCTTTCCGCCAGGTCTCATCATTTGCTGACTTCCAACCTCGCTTTTCCCTGAAAATCGTGCCTTGGCTAAACTAAGACTTACACGCGATCCATGTCTCAGATGTCAGCGGAGCTATCGTTCCGACGCAAGGGCATGCGACTGCGAAAAAGAAAAGTCAATCGAACAGCTGATGCTATTCGAGACCATTCGCATGATTTTGTGTGTTATTTACCGTATTCGCCGTATGCGGTTTCAGAAACCACCGTTTTGCTGATGCAAGGGCGAGGAAGGGTTGACTCTCATCCACCAACTGGGGCAACATGGCGTCTTAGACCATATATAAGTCTACTAAATTGATCATCATCCAGCTCTTCATAACCCTAAGCTTAAGACTTGGGTTGCATAAACTCATCATAAGAGTCTATGTGCACATTTCTTGCATTCAGGTTAATTGGTGGTTAACAACTTGGAGAGATTGGTGTCAGCCTCCAGGCAGCTGAACTTCTCCTCTCCAGACGATGTCTGCCGTTGCTCGTCTTGATACGACGTTATTTTAGACCAGAGGGGGTACCTACCAGGCTTCTATCAAACGTTTCGAAGTTATTGTAAGCTCCATCTAACACTTCTTCCAAGGCCAGTGTCTTCAAAGCTTCACCACCTTCTCAACTAAGAATCACTCACTCAAGGTGTGTATTCGTACTGAATGTAAGCTCTATTTACATACCAGGTTCAACCTTTGAGTGACCGAATAGTGGTGCTGACTTGTTCACATGCTATTCAGGAAGCATTCACTGTACATCCCATCGTAGAATCCAAAGACATGCCATATCTGTCATCCATCCTGCCGTTGTAATCGTCTTTTTCTTCACAGTCGAATGAAGCGATGAGGTCGTTGGCGCTCATCTCTTTCCATCAGCTTTCCCAAGATGCTTCTGTCCGCGAGGTCGGAGTTACCTAATGAGTAGTTAGTACTTCGATTCAACCTTTTTATCGACATTTTGAGATTCTTACTAAACATTTCGAATGTCGGCGATTGTAGATGTGAGGTCGAGGATATCGTCGGTTTCTGGGGGCACCGCATCATCTGTCAGATTCCCCTCTGGGACGTTTTCCTTGATTTCCACAGTCGGCTCCTGTATCTTTGTTTCCTGGGGATGTTCCGTGTGCTTTTTTATATCTTCTTGTTTTGATTCGCGCAAGGCTTGAGCTCTGGCAAGCTTGACAAGATGTTCTCGTTCAGCCTCGAGTCGGAGTGCCTTGACAAGTCGGAATTCCTCTTCGATGATTAATGCCAGCTCTTTATCGGGATCTTGGAGAGCGGCATCAGTCAAGGGTGTTCCAAGTCCTTTTGCCCTCTTGGATTGTGGAGATGCCTCCGAGACCTGCGTGCTTCTATGACGCTTCAGTCGTCCTTGGTTTGGAAGTGTCACTCGGTTGGGAACTTTCTGCTCCTGTTTCAGTAGCTTTGGGGCTTCTGCCTTCTGATCGGTCTCGAAGATTGATTCAATTTTGGGTGAAATGTTCTCAAGGCTATTGTTCTTGGGAGACGTGTTCAGCCCAGCCTCTTCTTTGGGTGGGCTGGACATCGTGAAACGTCACGGACGATGTTGCAGGTAAAATGGGATGTTCAGTGGCAGAACAAGAGATGGAAGAATGGTGTAGCGATGATGAGGGATGAAGAATACTTTCAATGTGTTGGGTTTAGAACTGGCGCGGGAGAGAGATAGAGAGCCAGTGATTCAAGGGGCGAAAGGGCGGTTATGTCAACACTGGTCTGGAGTGAAACTGCACAATGAATCATAGCCTCGCATGAACAGGTACCTATCTAGGTAGGCAAATAACTTCTCAATGAATATTCTCCCTGAACCATGTTATCTATAGCCATTATCTTAAGCATCCCTCCAACTAATGTCCCAACTTCTCTTCACACCCCTCCCTCTCATGCGTCTTCAAATGCCCTTACCTGGTAGGTCACGTCAGTATTCCTTTATCTACTGACTTGAATAGAATACCTCCTCCCCCAGCATCGCGCCAACTTCATCATGCCGGCGACAAAGCAGATGACTTACGGTGCTGACGGTTGAACCAAGGTGATCTGAGCAACATGAGTTTGAGATCATGATGAGATTTAAGAAAATCCGAAACTGCTGCGTAAGATGGCTTCGGCTATTATCGAAGATATCTAACATGATGTAACTAAATTTATGACATTCATTCAAGATTTAGGTTCTTCACCTAAAGCTTATGCTATATCATCATAAATTCGGCATATGAAACCCTAAACTCATCATAAGCCCTCATTCAAAGAGCGATATGCAAGGCTTCCAAGTTCCTGTGCATGTCGAGGAGCATCTGGAAGCTGACAAGGTATGCAACATCTCTCCAGTTGGAACGCAGAGGAGCCAAGTCCCAGGACACGGGTTAGTAAGATCGAGATCAGACAGACTTCATTAATGCTATTTCTGTTCCAAACATCGGCTTCTCAAAAATCACGTATGAACCCTGCCAGATCAAACCCGCCTATAGACCAACTAGATTATTGTGTGGCTATCATTCACGCGTATTGACTCATGATATATGCACAAACTTCACAAATTACGAAGATCATACTTGTGTCGGCTTGAGATCGTTGTTTCCATTATGGTACAATCTTCTATCCTTACAACTCCGCTCCCGCTGTCATGACCCAACCCATCTATAAACGACCAGGCTCTGTTGCGAACCCAGCAGGTTAACCAGCAGCAGAGACGACAAGAATATGGATAAATAAAAGAACGCCCCTTGTTGCAGTTTTCTCACTTCCAAAGCTTGCCAAGAGACACCTCCTTATCGTCGTGCTTGTTGAGAATCTTTGCCGTGGCAAGCTCGAAATCTTCTTGTGTGACGTGCACTCTTCGCTCTCGGAGAGCGTACATGCCTGCTTCCGTACACACACCCTTCAGCTCAGCACCAGAGCACCCGTTCATCTTTTCCGCGATCTTGGTGAGGTTGATACCACGGGTGAGGTTCATCTTGCGGCTGTGAATGCGGAGAATATCCGCTCGAGCCTCGACGCTGGGCGGGGGGAATTCGATCTTTCGGTCGATACGTCCTGGGCGCAGGAGGGCAGGGTCGAGAATATCGAGACGATTGGTGGCCATGATGACCTTGATGTTCTTCGTGGGTTCGAAACCATCGAGCTGGTTAAGCAACTCAAGCATAGTTCGCTGGACTTCGGAATCTCCTCCTGAAGAACCCTCCACTCGTGAGGAACCAATACTGTCGATTTCGTCCATAAAGATAATAGATGGGGCATGCTCTCGAGCCATGACGAAGAGTTCTCGCACCATTCGGCTACCCTCACCAATGTACTTCTGGACCAGTTCGGAACCTGACACTCGGATGAATTTACAGGCAGTGTGGTGAGCAACAGCTCGTGCCAGTAGTGTCTTTCCAGTACCGGGAGGGCCGTATAGCAGGACACCCTTGGGTTGTGCAATTCCAAGAGACTCAAAAAGCTCGGGGTGCTTGAGACCAAGTTCGATAACCTCCTTGATCTCCTTGATCTGCTGGTCTAAACCACCAATCATGTCGTACGTGCTGTCGGGAACCTTCTCCACCATCATGAGAGAGACGAGAGGATCGACGGAGGAGGGGAGCATCTTCTCGAGTTTGTAGCTGTCGGACAGGAGTGTGACTCGCTTTCCTGGTGTGAGCTTGCCGATATCAACACTATCCGAAACGTCGACCACTAGAAAAGCGTTAGCATTGAGCATTCAAAGCTATATGACCTAGGTGAGCATACCATATTTGCCTTCCGGGTGGACTTTGACCAAAATCTTCTTGGTGCTCATGACCTTGACGACTTCTCCAACATAGGAACCAGGCTGTTGCAGCAGACCCAGCTCTTCCCTCAACAATCGCACGCGGGAGTTGTAGTCATTTCTCTGAGCTTCAAGACGACGAAGCGCGGCTTGTCCCTTGAGAATCTCAAGCTTCATAGCCTCGATCTTGTTGTGGTAGTACTCGTCGAGCGCCATGTTTGGCGAAGCTCCCTTGACGTCAGGGAAACGGGCTGATAAATACTGTTCGGGGGTGTAGATATGTATAAGTTGGCACGAATTGCCAGATTCACGGGTTCGGGGTGGAGGTGGATATAGTGATGGGTGTCGGGGATTGGGTGTGTTGGCGATGGTTTGCGATGAGGTTGAAGCTCGATGACAAGGCTACAGCTTGTCTCGTAATCCTCCAGAGCGAATGGGCGCACGGGCCAAGCAGGTGGGAGCTGCCCTCGAAGGCCGGCGTTATGTTGTGCCGTCGTCCGGGAGATCGTAGGTGTAGGGTAGGCTTTACAGAAGGGTTGGTTGGAACCATTTTGATGGAACCAGCCGAAAGTTACAGATTGCGTGTTCTTTATGGTGTACGGGACTAAGATTATGGCCTGTGGTAGCCGAGCGTGGTTTCTTTGCATACAGATTCTCCGTGTGAAATGTCGAGTCTTTTCAAGGGTCGTTTCATTGTATCAAGTTCTCATACGGTTCACGACGTCGTCAAGTGTACAGACTCATGGCTGCCATGACAGTGGAACTCCACCACCCTCAACGCTCTCTGCCGCGTTACCCCCACTGAGACACACTAGACCGCTTAGGAGTTGATGCAAGGCTCATCGAAGCTGACATGACATCGGCTGTTAAGGTATCAAGATATGGTTTAGGGAAGAAGATGGATCAGCACCCGGCTAAAGCGGATGAGTCTCTCCTCTTGGCCCATGACCATCTTCGGAATTCTTAGAACTTCGGACATCTCATCGATTACCTTCGGTACCCCTCTGTTGATCAAGGTCAACTGTCGTGCAAAGAGCCGCCTGTCTGCTACCAACCAAGACCCTGGGGATGCATAATGACGTCGAATCATTGGACGAGGTTGAACACGCGCAAGGTGCGATAAGACACACTAAGCTGTCATGGGGAAGGTTGGTTGATCACGAGCTGCAAGCTTGGCTAAGGTGGACCAGGCAAAGGAGCTAGACTAGGGGCTGATTCTGTCGATGTTGATGGCCTAGCTTGTTTATCGTCTTATGTACATATCCAGAGTCGATTTGTGAGAGTGCAGTGCTCCATCGATTTTGAGTTGGATACGGCTACAGTACTGTAAAGTTTGTATCCGTAGACCACAGTAAACTTTCTTTGTGTTCAGCTACGGAACCTGAAAACTCATTCCTTCTCCCCCCGTAAAATAACAAGAGTCAATTGTGAGCCTTCACGATTTATTTGGCACTCTCTGCCTTGACTCCTTCTTTGCGCTTTCTGTTGCGCTTTCTTGGAAAGCTCACTGCAGCTCGAGTAACATCATTTTACCAGATACTTACTTGCTTGCTTGCTCGGAGACTCCGTCCATCTCTTTTCCCTCATCAACTCCCTCTCTCCCTCTCTCTTAACCTTGTCCAGAAAAGAAACAAATTCCAGCTCGTCTCAGTTGTGCTCATCTCAATTTTCAATCCCAACTGAGCACAGTCCAGTCCCGCTGCCCAATCCTTCGTCGCATCGCGATTCTTGGTTGCTTGGGCCGTTTTGATCATCGCGTCGCATCGTCTGTACGACTTTCTCGGCGCTGCATCGTGACATTGGCATGCTCGGCATTCCCTCTTTTTTCTCGAGTATAGAGATAGGTGCAGCTTACGTCTGGTCGCATTTGTGAGCTCGTGTCTTATTTATTGCCTTCTCTTGTTTGTTCACCTTTTTGCATCAAACAAAAGTTTCTTGTGATAAAAGTCGCCTATTACTCGACTGTTGATTGCAGTACCACTGTTCCACTATGGATCCTTCGAGACGGGAGAGCTCGTCGACTGGGCATCAACTTGGCGACTCGTCTGGCAATGCATCTCCATCGGATACGCGTCATCCGCTTGCCCAGGCCGAGTCTGCCGTTCTTCGCGAGGCAGAGAGCTTGTCAGAAAGCTTCCAGTCCACTGACACTGTGCGGCGGAGACCAGAGGGTTATGGTAGGTTCCATGCTCTATGCCTTTTCTTGGCGAGAGACCGGGGTTAATTTTAAATATTCCTAGGCTCGATAAGCGGTCCAGCTGCTTCAGGTTCAGCTCAACAATCAAAAGAGACATCTCAAGAGCGCAGCTCGGCTCGCGCTACCCAATCTTCACGTCCTGCGAGAGGCCCCGAGAGAATGCGATCTGCCACTCGACTACGAAAGCCGCCAATGCCTCGACGCCCATCCTCGAACACGCCTTATCGCGGCGGTGTTTTCTCAGCCGATGACGACGTACACGAGGTAGAGGCCGATGCCGCCGAACGTCAACAATCATATCGTCGACGACCTCAGCTCTCGACCCAACTCTCTCGAGTTCAGTCGCACACGAATGAAGACGATGAAAATGACGACACCAACGACGATAATGGCGAATCGACCGAGAGCCCTGCTGAAGCACAAGGGGACGAAGAAGAGACTACTCCAGTCGAGGGCCAGGACGACTCAGATAGCGACGTCAGTGAAGCCGAGAGCTTCACCCTCAAGGACAGACAGCAGGCCATCAACCAGACCCACCCTTTCGGTATTCGTGTATGGAAGCCAGCATTGTACAAGAAGGATCGTTCAATTCAGAAGTTTGCACAAGCAGACATTCATTCAGCGCCTGGCGGAAGAGTGAGCAGCTGGCTTCTCGCGTTCAATCTGCTCTGGACCCTTCTGTTTGGTTGGTGGTTGGCTTCGTTTGCAGCTATTGGCGCCATCGTATGCTTGCTCTTTTCTGCTGCTCCTAGTGGAAGAGAGTATGGAAGAGTTCTATGGGGTCTCGCAGGATATCTGTTTTACCCCTTTGGCAAGTTTGTCCGTCTGGAAAAGGACGAGACTTATATGGACGAGGACCAAGATGAAGGACGCAGCATTTCTGAATATGAGCAATGGCAAAGCGGAGACCTCGAGTATGGCCGATTGTTCTTTGGACCTGATCGCAATCGCTCAATTGTCGGTCGTTCGAGAAGAAGTATCGATTCTGAGCCCAGCGAGACAGAGAGCTTGCTTGGACGTGGCCGACGTGGTGAACCCTCAGAGCTCCCTCCACGAATCAAGAGACGACTTTTTGGCCGTGGCCAGTGGAATATTGGCCGTGTCATCTTTTTCATCTTCTTCTACTGTCTCATTTCGCCTTTGCTCCTCCTTGTATCCGGTATTTGTTGGTTCTTGGTTTTCTGGATCCCCATGGGCAAGGCTACATTCTTGCTGTTTGACCACCTTCGACGACATCCTCTGGCTCTGTCTTTTGAGACCGATATTAGATATATCCGTGAAGACGATGGTCCGAGCTCCTCAGTCCTCCTCTGCACATACCGTGCTGTAGGAACTCGATACTGGAAGTATACTGTTGATGGTACCAACATCTTCCTCATCAACCTCATGGTTGTCGTCGTCTTTGTTATCGCCGATTGGATTGTCCTTGAGGGCATCTTCCATGTTGAAGGATTCATTACATCTCCAGCCTTCCTCTTCTGTGCTGGACTCCTGTCTATCATCCCTCTGGCTTATTTCATCGGACAAGCTGTTGCATCTATCTCGGCCCAGTCTTCGATGGGTGTGGGTGCCGCCATCAACGCTTTCTTCGCCACTGTTGTCGAGGTGTTCCTCTACTGTGTTGCTCTAACTCAGGGTAAGGGCCAGCTCGTTGAGGGAAGTATCGTGGGAAGTATTTTCGCAGGTATCCTATTCTTGCCTGGTATTTCCATGTGCTTCGGTGCTATTAAGCGAAAGACGCAGCGCTTTAACGCCAGGTCTGCCGGTGTGACATCAACCATGTTGCTGTTTGCCATTGTTGGCGCCTTTGGCCCTACTCTGTTTTATCAGATTTACGGCACCCATGAGCTCAACTGTATGGAATGCGAGGACTACAACACCGGCGAAAATAGAGACTGTCGTCGCTGCTACTTCAGCCAAGCTCCTTCACTCAGTGACAGGTTCTACTTGGAGGCTGTTCGTCCTTACTGTTACATGGCAGCAGCCATGTTGTTCTTCTCATACCTGATTGGTCTATGGTTCACTCTCCGAACCCACGCTGCTGTCATCTGGAACGCCGAGGTTGAGGAGAAGCGACACGACGAGCATATGCACTCATCAAGTCTTCGCACTTCTCAAGTTCACAGCCATCCTCATACTCACTCTCAAAACACCGCTGAAACCAGTAGTGCTGATGTTCGCGATACTCAACTCTACAAGCGTATTCTGGGCCAGTCTCTTAAGCAGTCTGGTTACACAGAAGACCTTTCTCGTCAGAGCTCTACAACCGGGCAGACCGCCCCTACCAATGGCTCAGCTTCGACCCCCCATGTTGTGCCTCCCAAATCCAGCGGCGGTGAGCAGCCTCGCTCTGCTCTTCATGTTCCCGGTCTAAGCGATGCCGACAACAAGATCCTCCAACGTGAGGTCACTGAGATTGCTGCAGCGGCCGCGACCATTGCATCCCGCGAACGCATGTCGCGAAAGCCATCAACTGTGCCCCCCACTCATGCTCCCGGCGCTCGTCCTTCAGCGAGCCGCCAACACACCCACACGCATGCCGAGACTGAGGGCCCTGCTACTGAGGCTCACCAAGCACATGGCGGCCATGACGCGCCCAACTGGAGCCGTGCCAAGAGTTCCATCATCCTTCTTGGAGCAACTGTTCTGTATGCAATTATCGCTGAAATTCTGGTTGATACTGTGGATGTTGTTTTGGAAAGCTTCTCGATTGATCAAAAGTTCCTTGGTATCACCTTGTTCGCCCTCGTTCCCAACACTACCGAGTTTTTGGTGAGTAGTTTTGTTCCCTATTTAACTGATAATTACTAACCAACACCAGAACGCCATCTCTTTTGCTATGAACGGAAACATCGCCCTTTCCATGGAGATTGGTTCGGCTTACGCTCTGCAAGTGTGTCTGCTCCAGATCCCTGCGCTCGTCTTCTACTCGGCCTTCTGGCCAGGTGTCCCTGAGGGTGGTGACCCGGCGCTGTATACTTTCTCACTTCTCTTCCCCCAGTGGGATCTTGTCACTGTCATTCTGTGCGTGTTCTTGCTGAGCTACATGTACGGTGAAGGAAAGAGTAACTATTTCAAGGGCAGCATTCTTATGTTGACCTACTTGGTTGTCGTCATTGGCTATTACTTCAGTGGATATACGGATGATGCTATGGGCATGGAACGATTCGACGTCATGGGAGCTGATGGTAAATACCAGAGCTACAAGACGATTGGTAGATCGACGAGGGGCATGGCATTCCCAGCATGAGTTGCTGGTTGGCGAGAAAGGGGTTGAGTAGTTTTCTGGGAGAATGTGCATTTACATGGACTGTTAATACTGGACGAACATAAACTACATCATACATAGTACATTCGATGAGCCCTTGATTCGGGGGTCTGCATTGTTTGGTGTTTAAACTTTTAAGAAGGTTGTTTGTTTTTGGGGGGCCATTGAGTTATGAGCATTGGGAATGCGATGGATTTCATTATGGACTGGTCATTGTAAGGTGTTAACATCTGGATTTAGTCTTTCCTCACCATTGTCATTCTATCACGGTAACTTCCAGCTCTGGTGACAGCGTGATTAAGTCAAGATATGTTACTGGTATTGACAAAGGCCTGATATGTATGGCCAGATAATATATGTAAAGATACTATGTACAAAGAAGTGACATGCTGCCAGATGTGATATTATATCAACGCCTCATCTCGAAAAAGGTGTTTAGTTTAGGCCATGCCGAAGCCAGCGGAGGTCATGACGTTCTTGGCGCTGTTGTAGTCAGAAGCACTAGCAATGGTCTTGCCCTTGAAGTTGCTGAGGAAGCCAGTGTTGGTGCCACCGAGAGTACCAGAGCTGCCGAAGCCGTTGAGCTGACAGTTGCGGCCAAGAGAAGCAGCACAAGGAGAGCCAGAGGTGGGTACACCGAAGAGCTGGCCCTGGTAACCCTTGGAGTCGACGGGGTACTTGACGTTCTGGAAGATGTTACCCTCAGCGAGGACAGAGCCAGAGTCGATCTCGAAAGCGTGGTCAGGGACATCGTGGAAGAAGTTGTTGACGGCGTGGAGGAGAGTGTTGCCGGCGACCTTGGGGCCACGGCCGGAAACGCGGTAGACGTAGTTGTTCTTGAAGGTGACGAGATCGTTGGAGCCAGCAAAGTAGAGACCCCAGTAGTGGTAGTTGTTGCAGCTAGCAGACCAGCTAGTAGTACCGTCGATCTTGCTGTTGGAGATGGTGACACGGTTGCAGGCGTTGTTTCCGAGGACAATGTGCTGACGACCGATGAGAGAAGTGGTAACATGGTCAATCCAGACGTTGTCAGTGTTGTCGAGGGTAATGGCATCACCACCCCAGACGTATTGAGGGTTGAGCTCAGTGATGTGAACGTTCTGGATGATGACGTTCTTGGAACCAACGATCCGGAGACCCTTACCACGGATGACACCCTTGGAGCCAACGCCGATCAGGGACTTGTTGGAGCCAACCTTGATACCCAGAATACCGGCCTTGTCATACTTGACGTTGACCTTGGGGGCGTTGGGCTGGTAGTTGCCGCACCAGTTGTTCTGGTTGATGGCAGTCTGGCACTTGGATCCAGTTCCCCAGGGGGCACAACCAGTCTCGCTGGCGGTACCCTCAGTGCCAATGAAGTTGATGGTGCGGTCGAGGTAGATGACTCGGGCGGAGGAGTCACCGAGGTACGAGACGAGCTCAGCGGCGGTCTTGGGGTAGACGGCTCCAGCGCTGCCTCCTCCTGTGGTGGAGGAAGCGAAGCCCTCGGCGCGGGTGGGAAGAGCGCCGAGGACGGAGGGGATAGCGGCGGCGACCGCGAAGAGGGTCTTGAAGAGAGAAGGCATGTTGGTTGATATAGGGAGTGACAGTGGCAGTATGTATGTGTGTAAGTGAAGAAACCAGAGACCCAGCTACTGGTTGAATGAAAAAGAATGAAGGAGAGAATACCGAGAAGCAAGTCAGAGACAGAGTGAGATATCGTGAAGTTCATATACTAACCATCTCAGTCCATCGTGTAAGCCAAGCTAGGCTGCTCCTCCACCCTATGGAGTGAGTATGATACTAGCATCGGAAAAGCCCCCTTGGCAGACGGGAATTCGGCGAAGTTGACGATTGATTACAGCCTTATTTCGGGGTGTAATGCTTCATCGAGCCACGGACCCTCCCGGCCCATGTTGCCCTATTCGGAAGCGGCCCAGGATGTGATTCGTGGGAATTCCGTTGATGTTTCGGCGCTGTGGGTTATCTGTAGAGCCCACACGCCCCCCTATCCAATGTTAATATCTCCTTCCAGTGTCAGGACCTTTTATTTAGATTGTATATTAAATCCTTAAAGATAAATGGATCATGGATATAAGCAAAGATGGGATGATTCTGATCCCGCGTATTCGAGTGGAGCGCTTCGGTAGATGAACGAGCTCCGGATCCGACGCCGTGGTTCGGACGGCTAAAGGAGAGCCCAAGATGGAAGGTCCTTCATTTATCACTTTGCCAAGGGTTCTAATATGATGGATTGATTAGGTAGTAGCTGCAACGTTAAGTCCATGCATATCCGTAAGGTCACTGTCCGGAAGTATTCTAGAACTTTAGATTTAGCCTCTTTGTGACAGGCACTCTAAACAAATAGTCTAATATTGGGCTGCTAATCAGTCGATAGCTTGATTTTAGGTGTTTAACCATTCCCCTTTCTTCAGGCCTCCGATTCACTAGCTGCTAACTAGCAGATAAACAGAAAACAAAGCAAAAGTCCTGTGTTTTCAGCTCGGGCTTCTTCTGGTGAGGTTTTGTTTGACAATCAGGTGGTAGAGGGAGGGGCGGCACTAGGCCCATGTGGTGATGGGGCTGTTCAAGCGTGGTTTGTAGCTTCGTTCTTAGCTCTGTTGGTTCCTTGACTCGCGAGTGTGTTTCAAGTTGATGATTTTCTTTATCTAAGCTTTGATGTTTTAACCATTTGACTGAACATAAGCTTGTATTTGGCTAAATTGCCCTGTTCGAGTACCCTTTTGGTATGTAAATGTCTGGTGCATACTCTGTGAAGAACCTCACCGTAGAATGGACTGAGAGCCAGAGAGGTGTTCATCGACTCTCGCGTAGATTTTGCTTAAATAATAGAACAGACTTTTTGCCATGGTAGATGAACGCCTCTGTAAGTTATCTCGAACATGAGTCTATATAGTTCAAGACATGGATATAGGTATATATTGCATGTATCTGAACCTGAAGCGATGGTGTTGATTTACACATCACCACAGTAGCAAGCACTACACTCCGCACATCCTGAATTCTTCAACATTCCACTCTATCAGCATGTCATCCCCATCTAACAATACGAATAGCGAACAGCAGGGTGCTCTGACCGATCTTCCAACTGAGCTTCTACGTGAGATACTCGGCCAGGATCGTCTGAAATGGGAGGACTACTACAACCTCCGCCGTACATCATCTCGGCTATTCCAGCTTGCTCGCGAGCCCATGTACCAGGGAGGAGACTACTGCGTCTTTCGAGTGGCTTGCTTTCGCGGTGATCTCGATATGCTAGCTCTTTGTGCTCAGTATAGCGCCGTGCCGACGAAGTTCAGCTGGGAGACCCTGTCCGAGGGTCATTTGGGTCTCACCCAGCCGGGAAATGGCCTGTACGGAGGGCAGGCTGAGGATAACTACCAGGAGTCTAGGCATTACAATGCCTGGGGCAAAGGGTTTTACGGGCCCGGCGACATTGTTATACTAGGATTCTACGAAGGTAACTTTTCTGCAGAGAGATTCATCAAGGTTTGGCAATGGCTGTCGGACCAGGGGTGTGAACTCTTCACTTTCATGAAGCTACCCTCCGAGATCATCATGGGCTTTCCTTGCTTCTCATCTGCTCTCCTATCCATGCTTCCAACTGTTACCGACAAAGCACATCACCGATGCATTTGCGACGTAATCCATTTTCTCTATAGCAAGGGCTTGAGAATCCCTCATCCGGACAAGAGACTTTGGAGGAGAGGAACGTGGCCAGTTTATTACCCTTTAGCCAGGGAAAATCGCCCAACCATGCTGCAGGCTTTGCTGCAGACCAATTGCCCATCGTCCATTCTTGAGCTCTACTTGAGACAGGTCAATGATGAGGGCCTTGTTTTCGATTATACTAACACATGGCATTCATCCTCCCACGGACTGGGAACAATCTCGGAATTTCTTTCCATCCTGTTCGATGACATATTCGCTCCCTGGATCTTCAAGGGTGACAGTACCCGCAGTATGAGCGATGATCTCCAGGCAAAGATCTGCTTACTAACTCAACATCAGGGTACCAATGCTTTCGAGCTGTACATGCTTCGGGACATTGTTACCGCATTGCGAAAGATTGATGCCAGAAAGGTAAGCCAAGGTGGTCTTGACTTTGAGCGTGATGGCTTATGGTGCTGGTATGAGCTATGCACAGCAGTTGCTTATATCTCTGATGAGGACGTTCAAAAGGAAACCGTGAATCTTCACTTCACCGACCCGGGAGACTTGGAGATGATTAACCCATACTTCAGTAGAGGGTGGCTCCCTCACAAAGAACTGGCGTATGCGAGGAGAAAGGTTCTCGAGAAGAGAGCTCTTGAGTCTGGGCAAGACCCCAAGGACGTTGAGCCACAAGGAGATGAGCCAGCCGGACGTAAGTGGGCCCAGATGCCACTGGATGCTTGGGATTACATTCCTAGCCACTCTATGATGATACTCTATGAGGCTAAAATGAAAGGTGGCAGATTGTAAAGTAAACCGGCTGGAGTATTCTCCGCTGGAAGCAGTAGCCAGCAGTCCTAGATGTAAGATTTGTAGTATCATAGACTGAAAATAGAAAAAAGGTTGTGGAAAGTATCCTGATGTTCCTCACAAAGACGATCCAAGAACTTCATCTGTGGAGTATATGTCTAGTTGAAAAACTCACAGGCTTATTCATCAGCATGGCCCAAAGTCCGGACAAGGGGAAGCAAAGAAAACTTTGGTCTAAAATGTGAAAGGACTTGGGAAATTTAGGTAAACTTAGGATAATTTAGGATACGCTAAGTGGGACTTTAGACCAGATTATTGACCTCTTGATTCAATATCAGAAGTCTAGTAGCAGATGTCTTCTTGCTCCCCAAGGCCTTGCGAACTTTATATTGAACCTAGCTTTTATATGAGGCCCCCCTCCCCTAACATGGAACGATAGCCTAAAATGCTTAGGTTACGGGCAAGTGTCTATTGGAATTTGGCCGAGTCCTCTTTAAACATATGCTATCTCTAAGCTGTGCCTCGTGTGATTCGAGTCCTTCTTTGTTGTACAATGGCTTTGTAAGAGGCGATAGAGCAAAGATTGTGGCGACCACACCTTTCCCTTTGTTTCTTTCCTCCTCCTTAATCATACTCATTAAAGACCGACTGAATTACTGAGGTTGGACTTCGAGAATTATGGTAGAATTCGTGATGAAGGACAGCTGATATGAGCCCATCGAGGTGGGCTGAAAAGCACCCACAAGGTTGGAGCTGGTCACCTAGAGTAGAGCAATGCAGCCCCTGCCCGGAATCTGCTACCAACAGCAGTTGGAACTAGTAACTAGCAATGATATGTTCAAAGTTCCAATTGAACCGCATCGGTCGAAGTTCAAAAGAAGATGCTGTTTCGGAAACCCCTGACTTGCGCTGGTGAGTGACTGTTTGGTATGCCAAGTTCTTAGTAATCTATTGTATTTATTCTATGAATGCCAATGAACAGACATGATATTGTGAAGCCAGTGGCACTGTTCATATGCAAGTTAAACAGCGTACTGATGCTTCTACCTAAGTCTGCTTCTCACTGCCAGTGACAGTCCTGCTCTGTGACGGGCTGTGAGATGTGAGTATATATTGAGAGTTGTGGACTATTGCCCCAAACACTTGTACCTTTCAAGCAACAGTAACTTGAGGAAATGCTTCGCAGCGCAGAATCTTTGAGAAATTGTCGTTAACTTTGCACAAATCAACCTTCAAGCAGCAACATGTCGGTGACACGCAACATGACCCAAAGCCGCCTACTTCGATTACCTCCCGAAGTCCTTCTCCTCATGACGGAAGATAATTCTCTTAAGTGGGAAGATCTTCGCAGACTTCGCCACGTATGCTCTTTCTTCTTCCACAGTCTGGGTAGGCGAGTGCTCAAGGCCAGAGACTTTTTCTTCTTTCGCAACGCATGCTTGCACGCCGACGTGGATATGTTGATCGAGTGCCTGAACAAAGATGCGACTCCAACTGGTACCGTTTGGGAGAGCCCTCATCGTTCAGCAGGGGACTATGTAGTCGATGGATTCCGAGCGGGTAACTTCTCTGTTGAACGATTCAAGCAAACCTGGCAGTGGCTGTCAGACCATGGGTACGAGCTTAGTTACTCGGTTGAAAATACTGGTGATACTCCCGGACATTATCGTCCTTTCTCTGCGGACCTACTGTACATGGTATGGGACGCCACTGATGCTGGACATCTTCAAGCAATTTGCGATGTCATCCACTTCGTCGTCGATAAGGGTATGATGTTTCCAAGCTTTCTCAAATACTCGTTCAAGGCAGAGCGGGTGCCAATGTGTAGAACTTTGATAGGATTTATGATGGCTATTCACTGCCCGGCTCCCATCCTGAAGCTGTTCTTGAAGCAGCTCCATGACCAAGGCTTGACCCTGAAGAGTCTCACCAACAATCAGGTTTACAAAGGCGAAATCACGGAGATCTCCGCGTTCCTATGGGAAATGTTTAGATACATTTTCGATTCAATCCCCCCTATGTTAGAAGAGGATGACGGGATTATGGCCAGGGTACTGCTCAGACTTGAGGATCCCAACGGAATAGCAGACAATTTCGGGGACAAGGTCAAGGCGCTGATCGAATACGACTCTGTCGATGATGGCGAAGCGCGGGTCTTGAAAGATATTTGGCGAGGTCTTCAGAAGATGGCGCGCAAAAGAATCGAACGAGGCAGCCTCGATTTTGACCAAGACGGGCTCTGGTACTGACGCGAGCTAAACATGTCGATTGCATATCTTGCTATCGAACGGACAGTCCTTACACAAAGGCCCTTGCACCGTCAGGATCCCCGCCCTATTCACGCATTTGAACTCCATCACCGAGTTTGGTACCCCCCAGAACAGCTAAGCTGGATGAGATTGTTTCTTGCAGAACGCAGAGGGAGAATTGGAGCTTCAAAATTCGAGGACAGAAGTATAGGCGACTGGTGGACCATGCCCCTTTGCGACTGGGACTTTTTTGTCCCACCACCCAAGTTTTTCTGCAAGGGTAATCGTGAGCACATGGCAACTGAAGAAGCCTGGTTGAGAATGAGAGATGAGGCGCAGGATACCATGCCTTGATAGGCGGGCCGTGAATGGCATTGTTGGTACTAAGGGGTGTTCTATGAGGTGTTGTCGTCAGGGGGCTGATGAGGACTAGTAAATTGGGTAGTAGTTTGTGATATTGTTTTTGCTTTAGGAGTCTAGCTGCGGAGAAAACGAGTTTATCAGGAGATTGAGGAACTTATAATTCAACATTATGCCTCACATTATTGCGTCTATAAAATTGTAATTATACTTAAAGGTGGCCATAAGTGCTTGTAGCTGACATCTATAGCTGACAACTGACACCCATGACAATGATTCATAGTCAAATGCATATTAGGGAAATGCGGCAGTGATTCATAGTCAACCTCGATCCATATTCTCTTACTCTTGGGTGTATAAACCTCCACTCATTCTTCTTTCTCTTCTCCTCATCCTTCACCTCTCATCTTTTTGTCTTCTATCCTCAATCAAACTCGGTTTCTGGACAGAAGATCTGTATATCATTCTTCTACGAGACCGAACAAAATGGAATCGAGTTCAAAGGTAAGCACTTCGACTTAGCTTTCTTTTGAGTGACCACTGATGGAGTTGGACAGCCTCCAAAAACGAAGCTCAAAGAAGCGCACGACCCCAAGCAACCAGGAGCTCAACTTTTCGTTCTTGGAAGCCATCTTCTTGCAATGCACACTCTCATTCAAATCACCCGCTTCACTTGATCGATTCGCAGCAACCGCGGCATCTGCGCTCCCTCAGCCTGGCTCTGGCGAGGCGATGACAAGACTTTCGATCGAGTTGGATATGTTCCGCGATGATCAACTCCCTAACGCATCGGAGCTGGAGGAATGGAAGACAACTTTTATCCCTCATGGATTTCCGCAAGATGCGCGCGAATATTTCATTAAGTGGATGGACGCCGTACAAAAAGCTTTTGGACCTTGGGCTCACGCTCCACGTTACCATCCGGTTTCGAAAGCCCTACCGATGCTATTTGGATCTTCGTGAAGTTTCAAGCGAGCTACGAGACTCCAAAGTTACCGTGCAGATCGATCTGGATAAAGGCGCCTGGAGCCAGGTCCCCCAACACTACAGGCCACTTCTAATGGCCATGGTCGAGTTTTCCATCACTGGTGTGTAGCTGGACAAGGAACTTGAGGATCAGAGGGTGGGCCTGGCGAACGAGAAAAATATGTATCTCAGCTGTCATGGATGTCATACAGTTCGAGCGCTGAGGGTTATACACTATCGACAGACTGGAGATACTCCACAACAGTGAGAGATGAGAATATTGGGATCAATCAACGCATACCAACAGGCTTCAGCTATGGATGGACAGCCTCTATTTCTGAGATGGGAACGCCTCGAAAAACGATATGGGAAGAAAAGTCAGCGGAGTTAGGAGGGTCAAGCTCTACTGATGGACAGTGTCCATTGGAGAAGGGGAAATTGTTGCCAGATGATATGTCCTCAGGGGTTGCAGACTGCCTTTCCTAGTAATGCTATATTTTAATGCACTTTAGAGAAAGCACCAACTGATTGTCTCACGTGAGTATAGTCACTAAAAGTCACCTAAATTCCTCAGACTTACCGAAAAGTTGGTGTTGGCTCCAATCGTCTATTTGTGTAACTTAACTTGTCGCACTTCCATTCTTCGAGCACAACTAACCTAGGAAGCATTTCTTGCCGTTAAGATCTGTTATTAAAGTAAGGTTCTTGAATATGTAACAAGCGAAGTCTGTACATGATACCCGCTCTCTTTGTCTCTTCTATAGTCTGAACAGAAGACTGCCGAAAGACAAGAACAAGACTAACATCGATTTGTTTCTCAGTATTTCTTACTTTCAGTCTCGGTTAACAAAGAGATAGGCCCAATGTTGTTGCGTCCTTGGTAGTCGGAGCAGGCCCCGTAATACATCATTTATCATCCTTACCCCTTTGCCTGGAAACAAGCTCTAAAAGAGACAAGGAATCCGTGAGAGGGCAATGCACAGTGGTCTTTGATTCTTTTGAGCATTGAGTAACCGAATGTAATGTTCAGAAGTCAAAGACCTACGGAGACTGGCTGTTCAGTAGAAAGAGATCAGTATAAAATAAGGCCCTGGGGCATGAGTAACAATATTCCGTACACTTGAGCAAACACTATTCAACCACAATAAAAACGACGACAAAATGTCTCTTACTGAAAGCAAGACCAAGTTCCAGAAGCTTGGTCTATTTGATCTGCCCGATGAACTCCTCCTCTGCATCTTTGAAGCTGAGGGTTTGGAATGGAGAGATCATCTCAACATTCACCACGTGTCATCTCGACTCTTTCAATTGACGCTCAAGCACGTTTACAACGGGAAGCGAGAGATTTTCGAACATGCCTGCTATATGGGCAATCTTGATCTCATAATTGAGTGTCTCAAGCACAGAAACGTTCCCACGAGTCGACTTTGGGAAACGACGGGGCGCCGCGAAATCTGCTGGACACCGCTTGATGTCCTTTCATTGGGGTTTCTGGATGGGTACTTCTCGGCTGATGCATACATCAAAGTAGCTGAGTGGCTATTCGCCAACGGATATCATACCGGGCAGGTCGAAAGGATCGAGGGAGAGTTAATAACTTCTTCTGTTTTCCCTCCCCTTGTGCTGACCACGATCCCAACGGCAACAGATGTAGATGAACATCGTGGCATCTGCCAGGTAATCGAGTTCCTTATAGACAAGGGCTTGGGATTTCCGTCTGAAAGGCTACGCAGGGTGTTACCCGCGAAGAAGGACGGACATCCAGGATACCGGGAATTTGCCAAGGGATTTGACAGCATTATGCAGATAATGCTGCAGTCGGCTGTCCCCCCCGCTCTCTTCGAGGTTTTTCTTAGCAAGATGCTCTCCGATCGGGGACTGACTCTCAGGTCTCGCCTTGCCCCTGGCCATCGAGTTGACATTGACTGGCACGAATGGACAGGACTCCATGATCTAGTCCACATCCTTTTCGATGACCTATTTGCTCCATGGATATACAAAGGAGACAGCCCGAGTTACTTTTCCGATACCTTTGAGGCTAAGATCAAGTTGCTTATCAAATATGACGGGATTGATGGCAATGAGCAGTCGGCACTTGAAAATATACTTGAAGCTCTGCGTAGGATCGAAGCAAAGCAGAGAGGCAATGGCGGTCTCAACTTTGAACGAGACGGTACATGGTGCTGGCGCGAGATCTACCTCTCCATCTATCAGACCCCTTTCCTAGGTCGGAGGGTAGGCAATCGATATTCTCAAGGAGACTATGCACGAGCAATTAACCCCATAGTCGAGAGACGCGTGCATGAGTTCGCAATCCCTGGTATGTTATGGTACCCCCCTGAGATCCTGGTCGATGCTAGGTCGACTATTTTTGAGCAAGTTCACGACAAGCTCGACCCGTCCTGGCTCGAGGATAACACCGAAAGAGATTGGGTCAATATGCCCTTAGACGCCTGGAACTTTATAGGCGTTAAAAAGCCGGGGATTGCTTTTATGACAAAAGGGGGCCGTCGCCATTTTCTTAGCACCGGTCGGATTCTTCGATGAAGATGTAACTGGAAGCGAGGCAGACGACAGAGCTATCGTTGAGGATTTTGTTACCTGTTTTAGGTAGTTGTTCTTCTCTGTTAAGATTTAGATTCGTAGACCAGTTAGAGCGTCAATCTATATTAGACCATAAAAAAAATAAAACAAACTCTTTGCTTTGTACCTACACCCATAGAGATGTATGATGAGCTATTGCTGCTGTTCGGACCAGAACCTCACATTTCTAGCAAATTTATAGCGTAGCACAAGAACAAGCTATGGCTAGAAGCCAGGTGTACCAAGCATTTTTGGAGCAAGAGGTGCTTGATGACAAAGGATAGGCATTTGTTTGAGGTAGGGACATGTGGTTGTTCCAGATAGCACTAGAATATGAAGAGAGCTACGCTGTATGTCTTCGATCTATAGAGGCTGTTGAGATCGTTGAGTGTCAGACCTAAGGCTCCCATTATGCTCTGACAGTATTACCGCTGTCATGATTGAAATAAACAGATAAACAGACTAGCAAACATGCGCAGAAACGAACAACCCGTAGGACCCGGGGATGGAAAGATGAAAGCTCCCACCTGCATAATGTCACTGATCATATTCATTGAAGGGATATTAGATTATTTCTTCCTCATTTCAATATTACTGTGTAGTTGATGTAGCGAACAGCAGCATTGGATGTCCTAGTTTCTCATTATGTTCCCGAAAAGCACTGTTCGTCTTTGCGAGTATAAACTGACACTCATCTGCAGTGTCAACTAGAGATCAAACCTCTCACACACATTCTTCTCATCACTTCGAGAAACCTAAACGACCTCTTCCTTTCCAGAAATATCATCTTCCTTCTCGAAAACACTATCTCTGTAGCATTTCGTTGCCAGGACAATCATGTCCTCACAACAAAACTCACCTCCTCCCGCCTCGGGCTCCAGCTCTGAGCTCATCCCGCGCAACACTCTTCTCGGTTTGCCGGAAGAGCTTCAAGATCTCATCGCTAAAGCAATCAGCGAAGACAGGGACGTGAGCGTCGATGCGTTGTGTAAGCTGACACTGGTCTGCGAGCAGATGCATCGGATTGCCCGTCCGTATGTCCTCCGCGCCACAAGCTATAGGGCGTTTCGGCGGGCTATTGAGTCGGCCTGCCTTCCGATAATGCGTCTCTGTGGTGAGTGCCGCGCAGCCCCAGTCGAGATGAGCTGGCCTGTAAGACCGTCGTGGAGGGAGTATCGACCGATCGATGCTCTACTCCTCAACTTGGACGAGCGGCATGATAGTCCGCGAAGCGAACAGTTGCAGAACAAAATTCGAACAAGTGTCTACGAAGCTCTTCAGTGGCTCCTTGAGAAGGGTGCCAGCGGGGAAGCAAATCTGGTAAGTGAATCCCTCAACGGGTTTCGATATCAACGACTGGATATGGGTCTTGGACACATGCCGACGCGACTCCTGAAGCAACTCCAATTTGACATTGGTAGACCTGGAGTTGAAATTTATCTCAAGATGATTGAGCTGTTGAGTAGTTATGGCTTTCCGAACCCAACTCGATCCAACGCCCTCGACGGCGTGGTGGCCACCGACAAGTTACCTTTCTACCATCCGGCGTGTGACTGGGCGGACACGCAGCCATACCCTTTCGTCAACGGTGCGATAGCAGACACGTATTTCACGGAATCTCCACTGGACCTGGCACTCAAGTCGCATATTCCGCCTCGTCTTCTGGAGTTGATGCTGAAGGAGTATGCCGGTCGAGGCGTCAGCCTGCTCACATCTTACAAAGAGTGCCCGGAAGGTCTCAAGAAGACATGTAAGGGAAAGAGACCTCGCATAAATGATGACTGGGTGGGTGTAAGTTCCGTTGGCACTCTTATCGGAACGCTCCATGCTGATTTGCACAGCACGTCGGTGACCCGTTGGAGAGCATCGTATCACGGTGAAGTCGCTGACATTTTCCGGCAGAAGCTCGACATCATGGTCAAGTACGAGATGATTGACGTGCTTGAGAAGACTCTACTCAAGAGTATTCTTGGAGCTCTGGATGCGATCACAGCGCAAATCACTGCAGCAGGGCGTGTAGTGCCCATGCAGTTCATGCGCTCGTGGGTGACGCTATGCGAGGCAGTTCGACCCTATTGCGCCAACGAGTATGAGTTTCTGTACGACATAAACCGCACAATTGTTCGCAATGGACCTGGACGCGTCCATGAGTTCGTCATTGATACTGAGTGGAACCCATGGTACATGTGGTTCATGTGGTCTGATGCATGCAGGCGTCGTGACCTGACAATATGGAATATCGGTAGGGCCGAATTCCACAAGAATAGAAGATATTTCTGGCAGAAGCATCACGGGTACGAGATCGAGTATATACTCGGGTACTTTGACCGTGATCAGGTCCAGCCTTGGTACGAGGTTGATGTGGTTGAGTGGTGTCAGCAAATGCTGGGAACTTTTACTGAGGACGGGGTTCC